TTTTTCATACTCATTGATCCTGACAGATAATCAGAGGGACGAAGTGAAGGAAACGCAGAGATGAGAGTGAAGTGAAACAACGCTCAGTGGAGAAGGCCAACTCCTTTTAATCAATCGTGGATCAATATTTATAGTCACACAAAAATACGCTACAGACATGTGATGAATAGGATATACAGTATGCACACATACATTTATATAAAAAGTGAATAATTAACAAGGTCAAAATATAACTCAAGGAGAACGAATAGATTGGTCTGTCCAGAAGCTAGAATAAGTTATATGGGCTTAACACAGTAAGCGACACTAAAATGGAACTCAAAACAACTGTCAACCAATATCAAAGTCACAATCTTCAATATGAACGTCAAGGCAGTTCTACTGTACGGAGCTGAAACTTGGAGAACTACAACAACCATCATCAAAATGTACAAGTATTACTAAACACTTTTTCACACATTATACTCAGTATCCGGTAATCGGATGTCATGGGGTTAGCTACCTCATCCCGAAGAAAACTAACTCGCTAAAAGAACGCTAACCATAGAAAATAATTCAAACCATTAGAGCTCTTCCCTGGGAATTAGAAGGTCTTCAATTAGAAGAATTATGACGCTTCATGGTGAAAGCCAAGCTCCTTCGGAAGCCACGAGGCCGATGCCCCTTCTAACAACTAGAGCAACAACTTTTATTGGTACGTGGAACGTTCGAACAATGTGGGAGACCAGGAAGACTAGTCAAATAGCAATGGAAATGAGGAGATACAACTTAGCAGTACTGGGAATCAGCGAAACCCATTGGACCCAAGCTGAACAACAAAGGCTAAATACGGGAGAGATGCTGCTATACTCCGGTCACGAAGAGCAAAATGCTCCACACACTCAGGGAGTCGCTCTTATGCTGTCCAAAGTAGCACGAAATGCACTTGTAGGATGGGAATCTCACGGATCCAGAATCATCAAAGCATCATTCAAAACAAAGAAGGAGGGGATCTTAATGAATATTATCCAATGTTATGCACCCACTAATGATAGCAACGACGACATTAAAGATCAATTCTATTAGAGGCTGCAATCAATAATAGGGAAGTGCCCAAGAAAGGACCTCATCATTCTAATGGGAGACCTAAATGTCAGAGTCGGGATAGACAACACTGGATATGAAGATATCATGGGACGACATGGACGGACTGCGAGAGCGAAACGAAAGCGGGAAAAGATTTGCAAATCTGTGTGCATTCAACATATTGGTCAAAGGAGGCACAATATTTCCACACAAACGTATACACAAAGCTACATGAATCTCACCGGACCACACTACAGAGAACCAAATAGATCATATTTGCATCGACAAAAAATTCCGGAGGACAATGGAAGATGTGAAAACCAGGAGAGGTGCTGACGTAGCTTCAGACCACCACCTAGTTGTGGCCAATGTAAAACTGAAGCTAAAAAAGAACTGAACAACTGGACAAACAGCAATACAAAGGTTCAATACAGCCTTCCTTCGAGATACTGACAAACTCAATGAATTCAAGATAGCTCTCAACAACAGGTTCCAAGCCTTACACAGGATCTACTGAAGGAAGAAGAACTACTATGAAGAACAACTGAAAAGGTATCAAAGAAGCATTAACTTCAACGTGTCACGAGGTTCTGGGCCTCAAGAAACATCATCATAAGGAATGGATCTCTATAGAAACACTGGACAAGATCAAAGAAAGGAAGGACAAGAAGACAGTAATTAACAACAGCCGAACATGAGCAGAGAAAGTACAAGCACAAGCTGAATACATAGAAGCAAACAAGCAAGTGAAGAAGAGAATTAAAGCCGACAAGCAGAAATACGTAGAAGAACTAGCAACGACAGCGGAAAAAGCTGTTAGGGAAGGAAATATAAAACAGCTTTACGATACAACGAAGAAACTATCAAGGAAGTACAGTAAACCAGAGAGACCGGTCAAAGACAAAGAAGGCAAGCCAATCACTGGGATTCAACAACAGCGGAACAGATGGGTAGAATACTTCGAGGAACTCCAATGAATCCGCCGGACATCGAAGCAGCACACAGATCTTCCTACAGATGTCGATCCACCAACGAAGGAAGAAATCAGAATGACCATCAGACAACTGAAGAGCGAGAAAGCAGCAGGACCCGACAATATACCAGCTGAAGCACTGAAGTCCGACATCAAAGTAACTACAAACATGCTTCACCTTCTATTCAAAAAGATTTATGAGGAGGAACAAGTGCCGATGAACTGGAAAGAAGGACACCTCATCAAGATTCCAAAGAAAGGAGATCTGATCAAATGTGAAAACCACAGAGGCATTACACTATTTTCAATACCAGGGAAGGTCTTTAACAGAGTTTTGCTGAACCGGATGAAAGATGCAGTAGACGCCCAACTTCGAGACCAACAAGCTGGATTCCGTAGGGATCGGTCGTGCACAGACCAAATTGCGACATTACGGGTCATCGTCGAACAATCATTTGAGTGGAACTCGTCACTATACATCAACTCCATTGATTATGAAAAGGCATTTGACAGTGTAGATAGGAGGACATTATGGAAACTCCTTCGACACTACAGAGTTCCTGAGAAGATTGTCAATACTATCCGGAACTCATATGACGGACTACAGTGCAAGGTCGTGCATGGAGGACAGCTGACAGATGCATTCCAAGTAAGGAACGGAGACGGATAAGGCTATCTACTCTCTCCCTTTTTATTTTTTCCGATGGTCGACTGAATTATGAAGACCTAGACATCTGAGGGAAAACATGGCATACAATGGACTGCTCATTAAACAATGATTAAATGAACAGACGTTATTAGGGGAAATGATTCACTATATTTTGTCCAAAGTTAAACAACCGATTGATAAGTGAAGGGATTTTTCCAAAAAAATGATTCGTGGGAAGTTATTAAGATTCATACTAGATAAACATTTGATTAATGTGAACATTTTTAGCTCTTTACTTATTTTCTAGTTTTTGTTTTAAGCATGGCATTAGTCATCTTACATCAAAGGCATAAAAATCTACACATGTGCAATTAAATTTTGCTAATTTTCATTGCCATGCCAAGGGTATAGACCAAAAAAGCGCTTCAATCAATGTTTTGTAGTTAAAGGAAATTGGCAGGAAACTTTGGACTTAGGTTTCATAACAGCCTATGTTAAAACGTTTGAGATTCAATCCTTTCAACAGGATTCGAAGTAATATCAGACAATTCTACATAGTGAGACATTATCACATGGCTATTTGAACTGTAACTGGCCTTATGTGAGATTGAAAGACAAATTGATTTCATCCTTGTTTAATCCTTATCGGTAATCGAATCTATTGCCACCTCAATAACTGATTGTTAACATCTCAGTCTGTGAAGCTGGGTTATGTAAAGAGAAATCCATCACGGTTTGTCAGTTCCCTCAAGATTACAGATACATTTGGCTACAATGTACTTATTATCACATAACCTAGGTATAGAGTTTTCCACCATCGACCTCCAAACACTTAACATCTCAACAATGTGCACGCGTTATGAATTCGCCTTGACTTATGACCACATTGCAACCTAATCAAAAGAATTTGACCATCACTACGGTCTAGAAACATTTGACGTTAGTTACTTTTCAGTAATAAATCAGTACAAAGCTACAGTCTCTTGCAACAGTAAATACATGTTGAATAGAAATTGTGCTTAGTAATTTGATATCGCATTTATCAAGTTAAAACAAAGGTGATTTTATCCGTACTGTTTATAAGATTGGTCAAAGAGTAAAACCAAATTAACGAACTATCAAAAAGTCAAGTAATACAAGACATTTGTTTGTAATTTCTCACCGTTTCATGTTTCAACTAAACCTAGTCACTAAGTTGATTGACTGATTGATGCACAGTATAAACCGACAACTAGAACAGCATTCATTCAAACTATTTGTTCACATTTTCTACGTCATTCATTGTTCAACGGTCATTCTTTTCTATCGGTTTATGAGCTTTAGAAACAATAAGATATTTATTATATATAATCACGTAACATTAAATACATACTAGCGGGGTGTATGCTACTTATGTCGACATATGTAGTATATAACACCAATCAGAATGGGAATGCATAGTTAGATGGTGGTTGGAGGTAGTCAACAGGAAACCCTGACGACCCGGATTTCGTGCTACTTGACACTCGTCAGCAAGGTGTACCTGTAATCTTGAGGGAGCTGGTGCTCTGTGCCGAACTCGATCTCATGTCACCTAGCTTCACAGTCAGAGACGTTACCACTGAGCTATCCGAGTCGCGACCGACCTCCTGTAGGACTGAGATGTAATCACATCTGACTGATCATTGGGTGGTGACCAATGTCATGTGGTAACGTCTCTGACTGTGAAGCTGGATGACACGGAATCGAATCCGTCAGGGAGCACCAGTTCCCTCAAGATTACAGGTACACCTTCCTGACGAGTGTCAAGTAGCACGAAACCCGAATCCAGGGTTTCCTGTCGAATACCTCCAACCACCATCTAATCTCAATATATAGTGCCCGCAATGTCGAGTCACCTAGACCAGTGGCCACATTGCAACATGATCGATAGTATTCGATCTGCACTAATAAGGACTAGACAAGCATGACATTGATCACCACCCAGTGATCAATCAATTGGGAATGCCTATTATCAGGAAGTTATAAAGATCGAATCAAAGAGAATGGGGACAGAGAGTAATCATTATAGCAATGAAGGGATTTTGGGATAATTGATAGAGGATTTGTAAATGAAGTATTGAACTTATGGTTTTCACATTCTACCAAAGAACTACTTATATATCGACTATAAGTGTCATACACCATAGTACACTTACTTACCATCTATCCCATTTGATATGTATATCTTATAATTGATTGTATGTATTATTCTTTAACTTGACTTGTTCGATAACAAAATAATGTGTTACCTTTCATCATTGTCATCTTCTTTATTCTCTATAATTCTATCAGTGTCATTTGGTCAAATTATTGAATACCACCAATTCAAAGCCTAATACATTACGCAATGGATGTATAACAGATAAATTTCATAATCAATTATCTGATTCTTTTCAAAATTATCGAAATCTTGATATACAATGGATAGAGAATTCAGATGATGATTTTAGTGTCAAAGGATTTACATTGAATCCTCCATTACCAAAGAAAAAAACTATTTGTATACAGTAATATTATGTAATGATTGTAAATTATTGTAATATTTCAACTTCTATTAACATATATATTCATTTTTTATAATTCTAATGATACTACTACTACTAATACTACTAATACTACTACTAATACTACTACTACCACTACTACTACTACTGCTACTACTAATTCTACCACTATCACCACCACTACTAATACTACCACCACTACTACTAATACTAATACTGCTAATACTAGTGATGGTACTACTACGACTATTACTACTACTACTAATACTACCAATCATAATAATTATAATAAGACTGGTTAGTATTCATCTTCTATTCGATATAATGTATTCAAACAAATGATCATTATACTTTTTATAATAATCCATACGGAACATTATGTAATGAGACATACTAACTTATACTCATAGAGTAAAAAGACTTTGTAAAGTGTTTCCTCCTCCTCCTCCTTCTCCTCTACTACTACTACTAATAATAATAATAATAATATTAATAATAATAATTCATGATTATGTATCCATGCGCACATTTTCAACTTTTCCTCTTGAATCTTGACAAGTCGATTCGTAGAGTTGGATACAAAAAAACCGTTTCCATTTTAAAGGATTTTACTTTTATTTATTTATTTATTTATTCATTTTGACTGTAAATAGACTGACAGGTACTTTTCCTTTTTTATTACATCTCTTGCATGATTACGTAACACATTTCCTTTTTAATCTGTTTTTTGTTTGTTTGTTTGTTTGTGTACATTTAATGCATGGTATGATGTAATAACACAGTGTAATAAAATCTTATTTAAATTATTTACACTTAAGGTAAAAAAAACAAGTTTAATAGAGTAACGGTACTAAGTGATGATCACTATCACAACCATTGTTGCTACCTTGACGTAGTGGTCGGGCTTGCATATCGTGATGAACCAATCGAACTATATTGGCTGGAACAATCGTTTCTCAACGTCCTACCATGCCAGACAGGTCGGTTGAAGAACGGTAAGACTAAAAGCAAAAAACCCAAGGTCCAAAGTCGAATTCATACTTTTGACTGTACAGCAGTAAGGTGTTTCCTTCAGACAACCAGCATAACAGCGATGTTGCCTTCCCACAAGAAGGGTGGAGTAACTATGTTCCAATTGATGTGTAGTGGTTTTCCTTCGTTAATTCATCACCATTGTAACCGTCATTATAAAAATCATAACGGTGTTTCAAATCAGAAGGCATTGAGAAACGGTAACTACAGTGTATCAGGGGATAGCGCTGATCATAAAGCTATAAACACATCGAGCGAATTTGAACTAGAGAGGCGAATAAATATATGGGCAAATTTATAGTGAAATTGCATAAGGGCTCAGCAAGGTTAAAGTAAAAGCTAATAGTAGAATCTGAGTACACAAGTGGTGTGTGCTACTTATATTGACGTAAGTAGTATATGATGTAAGTCGTGAACAGAAGGTCTGGCAGCAGAGAGACATGAGCATCGAACAGTTAAGAATGGAGACAGAATGCAATTTGTATGAAAATGCAAGGACAATGAAGTCTGAGTCATTTTGAGACAATTGGTTGACATTTTGCAAATTAGGCATTTACTTTATGATTGTTAGATTCTATCAACAAGTCCTGTAATTTTGTGCTTAATACATTCGATAGTCCCCACTCGTGTTCTGTTCACTACGCATACATACATTGGGAGAAGGATGAATCATCGAGTGATATTTAAGTAATCAACCACTTAAACTAAGTTTTGTCATGCGATCTAGTGATTATAACAGTACAAAAAATATGCAGATTGTTACTGTTCAAGTAACATTGTCTGTTAAGTCAATTAAAAGGGTTTCATCAAAATCAACCATAATCGAAATCGGCTGTAAGATAATTGCTACAGATCATTGATTTGGTATGGTTTTATTTGTCTTCTTTTAAAAGACTAATACATGATTGAATCCTATCGTATATTTACTTTTTCCATGGTGGTCTAACTTCAATTGACTCATTAATTCAACTATTAAATTACTACAATCTCCACAAAAAAACCCATCTCTGATTTTAAAAAAGCCCCATTGAAAATGTTATTACTCTAAGGCTTATGGATTTGTTAGAAATAGATTAGTAGAAATAGTTTGAAGTTTAATTTTTACAGTGATTTCATCTAAATACAATCAAATAGCATATCGAGATTTCACTGTAATCAATAAGTGATGTGTGCTACTGATGTCGACACAAACAAGTAGTATGTATCATCAGTCCAAAAGTGATATGCCTATAAGCAGAAGGTTAAGAATATCAAAGAAAAGAGAACGAGAACAATGAATGATTGGCGTGAAATTGAGAGAACAATGAAGTCTGAGACGATTGACAGATATTTACAAAAGGAACGGTCAAGTCTGAGACAATTGAGGGATATTTAGCAAATGAATTATTTACTGTATGGTTCTCAGATTTTAATAAGATGTTCTATAAGTTTGTATCGACATATATTTGATTGTCATCACTGTTGTTTTTGTTCACTACAACAATAATGAGTCGTTAATCTAATAGTACTCAAGTTATTGTATGATACTGTCCGAAAAATTGATAAAGTTTACTGGACGATGGATAAGTTCTAATGATAAATGACGATCGTAAAATGAATGTAATATAATTAATATTAGCTGGATTACGATAGTTGGCATTCAAATTATGAGTCATTTGTTATCCGAATTCTTTGGATGATGCATTTGAATCAATGAAGAATATAATCTACAAAGTTATACAATCCTTTCATCGTCATATAATATTTTGATCAAGCTTAAAGTTTTGTCCACTCAAATCGATAAAGTGAAATCTATTCTGATATTCACAAAAATTCACTTTGTTATAATTCCATTAAGCCCAGGACAAGGTTGGATAGAGAATGCTGGTGAGTGGCCTATACTCCTTCACGAAGAGTAACAGGCGTAAGTAAGTATTAACTCCATAACACGTTAAATTTCCAATCTGATTTGTTTGCTTGACAATAAACTCACCATATTACTGTGGTAAATTTGAGGATACATACATGATAGAGTAGAATGTCAACTGTTTTTCAAACAATAATTTAGAAAATACAGTAATCAAATTAAATTTTCCCGTCAATTCAGTGGATCAATATTTAAAAACAGGTCCTATTTTAGATTCATAAACTTTTGTTATGTTGTCACAGCAACACATGGTGTGTTTCTCAATTCACATCAAAAGAATGAACTGTATAATCTACAAACATTGTCTATTGTACATGAATAAAAATAAAATAACTGGGAAAGATGGATAACAGTGACTGATCTGTCATGATCATGAAGATTCCGACATTTTAAAACATTCCCCTTATCTATGGACTACAAATATAGAATCCTATCAAATTGATAAAATACAAATTTAACTGGAAAAGAATTAAGAAGTGTTGATGAGCAGAAATTAGTGAGTTGTCGTTGTAAATCATTTACTTAGTTACAATGAGATCATCTTCTTATTTGACATAGATTGAATATTAACACTACATCTTCATTTGAATTAAACTCTGAAGAAAAGTTCTGATGAAACAACTAAAGGTTTATTCACCTGGAAATTATTTACAACCTAATCTTGAGATTAGATGGTGATTTGAGGTAGTCGACAAGAAACCCTGGAAGCAGGGAACACCAGTTCGCCCAAGATTACAGGTACACCTTGCTGACGAGTGTCAAGTAGCACGAAACCCGAATCTAGGGTTTCCTGTCGAATACCTCCAACAACCAGCTATTCTCAATATATAGTGCCCGCAATGTCGAGTCACCTAGACCAGTGGCCACATTGCAACATGATCGATAGCATTCGATCTACACTAATTAAAACTAGACACGCATGACATTGATCGCCACCCAGTGATCAATCAACTGTGACAACCTAATCTACTTGAAGATTCTTCAGTTCTTAACAAGTAACATATTGCATAAACATTTCACTTCTTAAAATAGCTGAGTTAATGACGTAATCAAATTTGTAAATTAGCAAATAAATACTAAAAGCAATTCAATATAATAATAATAAGAACATCTGGAACTCAAAACAACTGTCAACCGATATCAGGGTCAGGATTTTCAATACAAATGTGAACACAGTTCTACTAAATGGGGCAGAAATTTGAAGAACTACGAAAGCTATCATCCACAAGATACAAGTGTTTATTAACAAATGTCTACGCAAAATACTTTGAATCCGTTGACCAAACACTATCAGCAACAACCTACCGTGGAATAGAACAAACCAGATTCCAACGGAGAAATAAATCAGGAAGAAGCATTGGAAGTAGATAGGACACACATTGAGGAAATCACCCAACTGCGTCATAAGACAAGCCCTCATCTGGAATCCTCAAGGCCGAAGGAGAAGAGGAAGATCAAAGAACACATTACTCGAAGAAATGGAGACGGTATAAGAAGAATGAACAACAATTGAATAGAACTGGCATAAAAGTCTCTAAACATGTTGTGTTGGAGAATGCTGGTCGTCAGCCTATGCTCCGTTGTAGGTAACAGGCGTAAGTAAGTAAGCAAGTAATAGCAATAACATCTGATCTATTGATCAGTAGACTATTGTCTAAAGTACATTTATATACCAGCTCAATTTTGATGATTGAAACTGAATAAAAATAGCTTCATTACCGTATAATTTTATATTTTACAATTTTAATTCAACCTTAAATAACAGATCAAAGAAGTAAAGACAAACAAGAATGAAAGTGGAATTTATTTTTTTTTATTATCTAAAATAAATTATGGTTCATTCATTTTAGTTTCTACGAGAAAGAACAAAATACAAAATCAAACTGTTTTTTTTTTCTTTCTTGGCAAATTGATCCAGAAAATGTATCTGGATACACGTGTTTGAAAGAATAAAAAATAATGAATGTTTCTGGGAAAGGTGTAGTAAAACAACAAAAAAAAGGAAAGACAGAAAGAAAGAAATTTACCAGAATCTTTTGATATACCTACGAATACATATGCGCCGCACTAATCACTTGATTTGTGTGTCGGATGTGATACTGCCCGGGGGTCCAGACCCAAGTAGATGGTTTTCTTAGGGGGCCATGCCGGGAGCCTTCGAACTCAATGTTTGAACCATAAGGAAGTGAGCAACTTCAGGAGATTCAGTCCCATGGTAGCCGGTGACTAATAATTGGTGTATACGTCATTTGTTCCTTCAGGATCCTGGAGCACATGTGCACCATAGGTGGATCCTTCATATCCATCAACCCAGTTAAAGCGTCGGACACTGGCGTTATGATGAATAGGATATACAGTGTGCAAACATACATTTATATAAAAAGTGAATAATTAACAAGGTCAAAATATGACTCAAAGGGAACGAATATATTAGTCTGTCCATAAGTTAGAATAAGTTCACATAATTTTCACAAACTTTGATCTATTTTGAAACAGAGTATAAATTTCTTGCTGAATCATCACTTTACAAAATCTTCAACTTCCTTCATGAAAGTTGAGTGTCTATTCATATAAAGTATTAAAACCGCACAGTACATAATTGACTTTTAACCGATGTAACCATCAAGTAGGTAATATTGCGGTTAGACCAAAAGTACTATATGGATATGGTAGATAGTTGATAATGTAGTGAATTTTTATCGACTGGCGTGGATCGGATACAGCAACTGTCTAGCTAGATGAGAATTCTTTGCTAGTGTAAGAGTACTTTGAGAGAAAGCTAAGGTAGATATACAAAAACATTGAATCTATTCACAAAGGTTTGGACTGTTTGACAGAGCCATCTCAATAAAGTACCTCGTTAGAGTCATGACTATTACCGTTACCAATAGTTGTAGACGTTGGGTGGTATGACTCAGAATCAGTCATAATGTCAAATATGCATTTGTTCTTCTCCTTCTCATTAATCCTGAGTTATAAAGTTATCTCACAATTAATTCCACAAGTTCATTCTTTCTTCAATCACGTTCTTCATGGATAGTGCTTTCTACTATCACTGGTATTGTTACTACTTCTATTAATACGTGATTTCTCTTGATTATTTCATTTTACTGTGTTAATGTAACCTGACGACTTGAAAAGAATCATACATATACCAGGCTGTTTTCGTATTCAAATAAATGCCAAACACTTTCAAGCGTAATACCGTGTTGTAAATAAACTACAGAATTTACCAAATAATACCAGAACTTGTTCACCAACCAAATAAGAATTTGGATGTATCGGTTATTTGGATCTTATAATTGATGTTCAGAACTTCAATTGATCTATCTGTTTTGGCATTTGTCCATTCTATCCAGAATGCCTTGATATAGTCACCATTCCTTTGTGACTTAATGGTAATAACGAGGTAATCTATGTAGAATAGACATTAGTCAAAAGAGACTGATCAACTGCAATCCTATTTATCAATGGAAGATCCAGGTAACCAGTATATATCTATCAAAATCCACCCTGTTGTACAAGTCAGTGACCATCTGGACTCAGTAGCTATGAGGGTAACACGATAGTATTTAAAGTAAAGGGTACTGGGTTTATGTTCTGGAGTGAACAACAATTCAGTGATCTAGGTACATCCAACAGAAAAGCCCTGAATAAGACGAAACGTGAGTTTAAAATTCCACTGCTGAACTCCATCTATTTATGCTTTAAAATGCAAGTAAATAACAGTCGGGTAACGTTTTGATACTGAGACTATAATCGATACGTGGTTGTGTTCTGTTTATCAGTCCATAAGTTTGATAATAAAAATACTGTTTTACCAAAAATGATGGTTCTATTTACTATCATATACCTTTAAGAACTGAAAAAACTGATGTTCCTCAGTAAACGAAAGTCTTACATTAATCAGCATGAAACCTAATAACTTGATGAACTCTTTTTTTCGAAGCACCATAGATCTACAATACATAGGCTTAACTTTTGAAAGTAGTTTAATTCAAGGTATTAATTATCCTTTCCTTATTCATCAAACTCTTTAGTCAGAAATCGATTATTCAAAGCTTAAACTATCATCAGAAGAGTGAATCTATGTAAAAGACAACAACATATTGATACTTAATATCACGTTGTAGAGATCAAAGATGATGTTAAGTGACTTATTGACATTTAGTTAGAGAAAACAGGTAATCATAAATGTAAGCGTATTATTAAATAAACATATACACAGTAAAGTTTTGTCAACCGAACCTATTTACCTAAGCCAAACACCTAGGTTAAAATAGTCAAAGCAAGATAATGACAAACAAGGTTTTTTCAGTATCACATCTAAAAGGTTATAAAAAGTAAAAATTACAAGACCTTAATATGTATAAAACGTCTAGGAAAATATAATACGTAACTAGTATTGATGATTCATCAGTATCAATTGTGATATTTGATCTTATATGGGTAGTAAAGCAACTCCGCCTGGAGCCACTCTGGGGTTACTGATGGTCCCAAGCCCGGACAAAGAAGAACGGTTGGGCGACCTCATCCCGTAGTAAATTAACTAGCTAAAAAGTGCTAGTCAGAAAAAATAACTCAAAACATTTAAACTCTGACACGGGAGTTAGAATTTCTTCATTTAAAAGAGTTATGACTCATCATGGTGAAAGCCGAGTTAAGGAAAGCACTCAACTGTATCACAATGCAAGCCCTCACATGGAATCCTTAATGTCATAGGAGAAGAGGAAGACCAAAGAACACATTACACCGAGAACTGGAGACAGACATGAGGAGAATAAACAAGAATTGAATAGAACTAGAAAAGAATGCCCAGGACAGAGTGGGTTGGAGAATGTTGATCGGTGGCCTATGCTCTATTAGAGGTAACAGACGTAAGTAAAGTAAGTAAGTAAGGGTAGCAAGACAGTCTTTTAACAACATCGCTAGAATTCTTTAGAGAAATGTTATAATTACAGTTGATGTCAGTTATCTTAAGACATTTGATTAAAATAGTGCTAATTTTAAAAATAGCATTCTAAGCAACCAAGTCATATCATTCAATGAAATTACACTAGTTACATTTGCAGTTGTTATTTAGATCTTTACACTGATATTTAAAACTGAGAGCGATCAGTTCGCTTCAGCATATGTGCATCCTGCTCAAATTAACTTTAAGTCACAGACACCTTAATTAGTGTTAGATGATGGCTAGCAATCAGATTCATGATGTACGTTCCGTTCTATTTAAGACTCATCAATTGAGTGTACCTTCATTTCCTTCACAATATCACTAGTAATTACATCTAAAAAGATGCAACAATGCTAGAATAATTCACTTAAGTTCGAAAACATCTGATCAGCTTTATTGTTTATCCAGCTTATATAATCGGTTGGAATAGTATGGCATATATGGCATTTGATTTCTTCATCAAAACAGTCATAAATACATCTTTTACATATTGTCCTCGGCGAAACTCTAATTTATGGACGAACCCTGAACGAATCTTATGTGACCTTGACAATTATTAGCCAATCAGAAGACAGTATAAATTAAAACTATATTATGAGAAACTAATGAATTACAGTGGATATTCTTCTTTTACGTGGTTTAGAAACTTGTTAAGATTTGATAAAGGTTCAGATGTTCTGAAATAATAATGCGTACGATATAGGAACTCGTCTATATGACTCCATGATAGTCATCCTCTGGAGCCGTGGTACGGTCTTAAAAATTCTTTCAATGTCGACCACATGGCTTCAGTGTTGTTAGTATGAACGCCGGTAGTGGGGTCGACAAAACGGCGTTTATGCGCCACGACATGATGGACATACCCAAGTGTATGAAGGCATCTATACGCTCTGCAATCATCTGTATATACCGTAGTGCCCGGCTGCGCGTATTCCTTTATACTTGGTATTATTGTGCCTGCTTGACGGTTTCTCACCCTCTGGAAATGCCGATTTTGCGTTGATCGATCATAAATTCCAAGTACCTGTCAAGTATATTTACGGAAGTGCTACTTACTCAATCTTCCTTGATACTACGTTCCCCGTTATATTTCCACTTTCGCACTACTGTTTCATCTGTTTACAGAATACTCACGACTAATCTGAATGATTCGTGTAGACGTGTCACGCATAATCTAATTTGCAACTATTATCATGATTTGTTTCAGTCTCAGTCGCGATCGAAAGAAGAAAGTCCCCGTTCGAGCAGACTTTTTTCTCCAACATAAAGAACAACAAAATACAATCTCATCACGATAGTCTACACACCCTACTGCAGTCATTTGATAACCACAGTAGTAGTAGTAGTAGTAGTCTCATCTCTTGTAGCCGCTCAATAATCACCTCTTCTCTAAAATCCGCTGTAAACCGATCTTATGTGAGCATCAGATGTTGAACATGGCTGCGTGACCTTGAAATCCCTCAAACTCTTATGATTGAGTTGTTCATAAATAAGAGTCTCCCCTTCTTCTCTATAAGCGACTACACTCTGCCCAGAATAAACCTTTGTTTAAATTACAATAAAGGAAATACCAAAAAATCTATAAAAACAAGGTAACAATACTTTCAATCTTTATAAACAATTAAATTCTGATTGGTTAATTAAGATGGACCAATCAAAATTAAGAAAAATTAAGCTTTTTCAATTTTTAACTTTATATTATTCACTTTATAAAATCATGTTTATTAATTAAAAATTACCGATTTATTCAAATTATGCTTACCTCTTCTATAATGATTGAAAATATTCCATTAATGCCAAAGGCACCACAAATTGTTATAGAGATTCCAGAAAATACATCAGAAGAATTAAACTATGAAGATTTATTTATTAAATCAAATCATCATCATTGGACATCGGGTACATCAAGTCCAGGATCATGTTTTCAAAATTTATTAGCACCTTATTACGGATCAATAAATCAACAACAATATCATTTATCAATAAGTGAAAATTCATCAAGTTATGGAAATCTTAAAGAGGATTATCATTTAGATAAACAAAATTTAATGAATCCACAATTATATATAAGTAGAACACCACCGCCAACATTATCATTACATTATTTAAATCAAACTAGAAATTCATATTGTTGTATTGCAAATCAGAATACAACAAAATTTTTTACATCATCTGAACATGACAAAATTAGTGATTTTCAACGTTCTAGTTCCACTTCATTAACTTCGAATTATAATATGAATAAATCATTATACTTAGATAATTATACAGAGAATTATACTTGTCAACCACAACAACAACAACACCACCGCCACCACTACAATCACCACCACCACCAACAACAACAACAACAGTACCTTCAATCAGAAAGATTTCCACATGTACATAGATCCTATACAACAAAATCTATGAAAACAAATTTCAATAATCCATCCAATCGTTCATTAAGTCCATATCCACAAACTATTAATTTATCTAAACAATGTATACCATGTATATCTACTCAAAGTCAATATAGTGATTTAGATTTATTGAATTATCATTATAATATAAATCATTCTGATAATATTTTATTATCTAAAACTATGTTCACTAAAATGAATAAACAAAAATTAATACGTAGAGCATCTACACCATTATCTTATCAAAGTTTAATGACATCATCACAGATATTATGTAATTCTTCAATGACTACAAATACCTCATATAATACTACTACTAATAATAATATTAGTAGTGGTGGTAATAATCGATCGAATTTGATTAATCATTATCCATATAATCGATCAATAATTCGACACCCATCATCATCTATCATACAACGTTCTAATTCTTTACCAGAATTATCAACCATCATAAAATATCATGAATATAATAAAATGAATCCATCTATAAAATCTTATTCAAAAATAATAAAAAATGAACAAAATCAAGATAATTGGTATCATAAATATAAATCGAATAGAATATCATCGATACAATCTAATCATCATTTATTCTATCCAATTGAGTTACCATGTCAACAAACAATGTATTTATCTACTATGAGAAATCATCGTCGACATACAGAAGATTGTAGTCATCAAATAAAAAATAAATCATCATCATTATTATTAGTACAATTAAATCGTCGATCAAATTCTGTATGTTCACAAAATCATTGTCATTCTAATATAAATAATCATAATCATAATACTACTCTTACTACTCATGGAAATATTGTTAGTAGTATGCGTAGTGTCAATTTTATTAGTAATATTCATCATCATCATAATAATAATAATAATAATAATAATAATAATCTAGATCATTCTAATCGAATGATAAATGATTATAATCATTATATACAACCATCTATATCACTAACGGATAATACAAATTTAGATAATACTACTAATTCATTAGATATAAGTAGTAAATCAATATATAAACAAAATAATGAAATCATCAATGATAATCATCATATTGTTAATTCTAAAGATTTAGAATTGAATAAAATGGATTCTAATCAAAATATCATTGAATTACATGTGAAAAAAGGTGATTCATTTACCCATTGTCTATGTTCATTAATTGTTCTATTAGTATGTATGCAATTAGTTGTTGGGATTGTATCTACAGGACTTGGATTATTTTTAACATGGAAAGTACCAGAATTAGATCCTATGGAATGTGCTTATTTATCTGGTATACCAGTAAGTGTTATTTTAATTTGTTTTGTTTTGTTTGTATTTTTTTTATATCGTAGTTAAATTCATGAGTTGATCTAAGCTAAGAGGTTAATTGTTCGTGTATGAAACTAACTGTTCTGTGTTTGAGCACTGTAATGTAACGTATGCCAACGACTGACTGCCTCAACGTGCGATGTTCAGTGGTATAGGAATAGGTTGGAAGAAAGCTAGGTGCGGCCAGACCAAAACAAGTGGACTGAGTCATGTTGGTAGGTGTAGACTACCTGGTTGGGGACCGCGAGATGATAGCAACCGATGGCTAGAGACCCTGAATGACATGGCTCAAAATCGTTTGCAATGGTGCAGGTGCATCCACTCTTTGTGTTCTCCCAAATTCTAATCTCTTGATTCCTCCTTGTCGCTTTTTTTCTCTTCCCAAATTTATTTCACTATATTATACTCTTTAAATAACATCTCCAAACACTAATTTTCCTGATTACTGCTTATACTCTTATTACCTCTACCACTATGGGATATGAATCGACCACTGCATCTCTGTGCTAATTTGGTATGCCAACTCGAACTGATGTATGTACGTACAAAGTTCTACGTTGTTACTGACTGGCTGACTGAATGTAGAATTGAAGATGTTCGTTGCTAAGGTGTTTCATACTACAACGAAACGGTCTTTCAGGTTTTTAACGGTGGTGTAGATTTGACCAACTCATGAACTCAACTGTTCAAAACGGTAATGTTATGATTCCGTAAGCAAAATTAAAAATTCTGTTTAATTTAAATGGATAGTAACATCAACTAGGTTGTTGTCCTGAGCATAATCATAATTAATGACAGTCGTATAATTGTTCATTTAAGTAATAAACTTAAATTTCATTCATAATGTTTCAAATTGTAGAATAATGAAAACTGTAAGCATTTGTCGTTGAAATGTCTTTAAAGCTTAATATTTTGATATAAGAAAATTTGGATAGTGGCTAGTAGTGGAATTCAAGAGGCGCGTCTCGTCCTATTTGGGACTTGTCAGCTGGATGTATCTGTATCGCAGAGTTGATCTTCACTTCAAGATTCGAACCCAGTACCGTTCTCTTTAAACGCCATCACCTTATCCACTTAGCTATTGAGTCCCAATAGCCACTTGCTTGTACAGTGAAGTTTTAAATTCACTTGGTGTTGTTTACTTGAATCTTCCTATTGATGTCTCTTATTAGCATATATACGGTACTGGGTTCAAGTCTCAGAGTGAACATCAACTCTGAGATGCAGGTACATCCAGCTTACGAGTTCCAAATAAGACGAAACGCGCGTCCTGGATTCCGCTGCTAACCACTACCCATCTTTGGTTATGATGCTTGTGACTTAAAGCAATATCGAGGCAGTTCGTACAGGATGCACATGTGTCAATTGCAGTCCTACATAACAATGGGAAGATACAAATAAACAAAACCAAGTGAATTCAATACATCGAGGTTAATAGATTGATGTCAATAATAATAATAATGATAATAATGCTCTCTTTGTTTAATACCATAAACTTGATCCTAGGTCAGAAATTTCAACATATAACCTGGGAAATTTCCATTTTATAATCGTTTAGCTTGTGATCCTTAAATATATATAAACTTTGCAAGCCTTGATTAGTTGCCCATTCTATTCATCCATTGACATTTGTGTCCTTTTCTTATTGACAGTTCCTTAATAACAAATTTTTGTTTATCTAAGTAAGCCTTGATGGAAGAGGTGAATATATAAACTATTATAGTGATGTTGTTTGGTTCTCTTGGCAGATGATAGATTCATGACAAGTTACCAATGTTTTATGAAAGCATGATAGTACTTATGGTTGATAGACATAATTTGTCATAGTAGACAGAATCATTTAATTCTGTAATGTTTTACAATTTAATGTTTACAATATGTGAAAATACATTTTACTTCGATGATATTTTAGAGTAATTTAACAACCACAATATACTAGTTTCACCGTATTCAACTGTTTAACCATCTTAACACTGCCTATTGTTCATTTTTCTGTCTACAGTGACCGTGATCAAAACAGAATCATCAGTGTATGGTTGTGGAGATTATTAGGTTGAGTTCATGAATCAATTTATGTGAGACCATCATTGAAAACCTGGAAGTACTTGACGGCCGTTTTGTCCTATTGTGGGAGTGTCCAGCAGTGCGCATCTACGATCCCGCCCGCGGGATTCGAAACCGTGACCAGTGGAGTTAATTCGTGTCGTGTAGAGACAGGTATCTATTTCAGTACAATGAAAGATGGTCGCGCAGACTCGCAGATTGATCGGTGTTAGACATTAACACTGTTGGATGCCGACTTAGTGGTCTAGAGTTTAAACAGTCGCGCGTGAGACTGAAGGCTTTGGGTTTGAATCCCGTAAGGGGGACCGTGAATGCACACTGATGCGGAGTCCCACAATGGAACAAAATAGCCGTCCAGTGCTTCCAAGTTTCCAAAGGTGGTCTAAAATCAATCGATTCATGATCTCAAAACAGAATCCACATTAACTAACAACCATTTAAAGATATTGCCACATCAATCTCAACTGATAATACTTCATATCAATAATAAAGAGATTCCTGTAGAAAAAACTATCCTCTAGGTCTGTTCCTTGCAAACAAAAATAATACTGAGGAGTACTTTTAATCCAGATAAAATTATATTGATAGATTCCATTTCTTATAAGGTTTAAATACTTTTGTGGTCAATAAACCCAATATACATTTAGATGTCACGTTTAAAAGAAGGACAAATAACTCACCATGATTTTATATGGATTAACTAAAATACAATAAGATGGTTGCCAAGTTTGTATGATTCGAGAAATTAGTTATTTATGCCGTTTTGTCCTAATATGGGATTCCTAAGTGTAGTGCATATATATGATTTCATGTGTGGGAGCCCTACACTAAAATGAAACGAATTTCTAGTACTTTCAGGCTTTCAGTGATCATCTAATATTGATTGGTTTATGGTTTTGATGAATGTTTCAGTATGAAGAGTTAATGATCGATGGTGGTATTTAATCGATTTATTAAGGAAGAAAACTTTTGAATATTTTAGTGTGTCAAAAGACACTTGATTGGTACGTTTTAACAAAATGATGAAACTAACAGCCTAGTTTTGAAAATGATAATCATCAGGGTTTTTGTTTGACTATTCCTAACTCCTTAATCAGTATCTTTTATTCATACCTGAACATATCCAAAACTGAATAGATTATCTTGCTTCGGAATTTCGTCGATGGAAATAGTTATGAGCATTAATATGGTTTACTCTCAATAGGATTTAACTCGGTGATTAAATATTATGATAGTTACTAGGCTAACTAGGGGATTTGTGTACGATCCCGTATTTAGTATCAGGTGTGCAAAACAAATGACTTCCTAAAGAAATGAAATAGATTACAATGATCAATAACCCCAAGTAGAATTTACCGATTTCCTGATCACGTGACACAACATCAGAAAGACTAACCAAGTATCATTTATATTTTATGTTCCTTATGTTACTCAGCTTTAAGTGCTCACAAGATTATACACATAAATTTAAAGATAACAGCCCTTTGTAAATTTCATACTGTAAAAGGCAGATAACTAGTGTTAAATACGAATAAAGGCAGGAGAAATGTATCAATAATAATAAATTACAAAGTGTTTATATAACTCAGATACAAAGCTGTCAATCGTCTATTTGCATCTGTCGGTGTGTTCTGTCATCTGAACACTTCTCATCTGGACTCTAATTGTTCTACCAACTCCGTGATTTCAATGCACTCCGTCTGACAATCGTTACAACTTCAACGCCGTGTTCCGCTACACACTACTTAAAAACATCCTTATGAGTAGCATCCACCACATTGAAACTTTGAAATGTAATGCTGAGTAGCATTTCTATGATCAATTAGGTATCAGTTATGAAAGGCAAAATATAACACTACAATGAAGGAATGAAATGAAGCCTAGTATTATGGAATACAATTCAATCATCATAAATTAACCGTTTAGTAAATACCTATAAGAAGCAAGAATGCCCGACACAACACAGCATGCATCAATCAAATCACACTTGACAGAGAAGCATTGAAAGATGTGAAAACCTTTACATATCTGAGCAGCATAATCTGATTCAGATGCAAAGACGCGGATCGCCAAAGTAAGAGCAGCATATTCACAACTGAAGAACATCTCCAACTCAAAACAACTGCCTTCAAGTCAGTATTTCTAATATAAAGTCAATATGGTTCTACTGTAAGGGGTGGAAACTTGAAGAACTACGAATGCCGTCATCCAGAAAATACAAGCTTTTATCAACAGTTGTCTAGACAGAACACTTCGGATCTGTTGGCCAAACACTATCAGTATCAATCAACTGTGGGAAAGAACAAACCAGATTCCAGTGGTGCAAGAAATAAGGAAGAAAAGCTGGAGGTAGATAGGACACACATTGATGAAAGCACACAACTGCGTCAAAAGACTAGCCCTCACATAGAATCCTCAAGGTCAAAAATAAAGAGGAATACCAAAGAACACATTGCACTGAGAAATGGAGACAGACATGAGAAGAATGAACAAGAATTGTATAGAACTAGAAAGAAAGGTGCATGACAGAGTGAGTTGAAGAATACTGATCTGTGGCCTTTGCTCCATTGGAGATAACAGGAGTAAGTAATTAAGTATAAGAAACAAATATAAAATTATTATACTCAAAACAGTTTTCTCAACTTTACGATATACTTTTTCACTAGTCTTTCTAACAGAATATATTTATAAAGATCAATTATTCAACAACTATCATTGAATATCCCTTTATCAGTTATGATATCATTATAACATGAATACTATTTATTAAGACTTACTGGTTAGCGTGTTTTTTGAGCGAGTTAGTTTTCTACGTGATGAGGTCGCTAATCCCATGCCCAACCCTCCTCCTTTACCTAGGCTTGTGACCGGCAATAAATCTAGAAGAGCTACAGATGGAGTTATGT